CCCCCGCCGGCTTCCTCAGACCCTCGGGCCTCTCCTACGGGGCGCCCATCACCCCGTGGGCCTCGGTGCCCACTCACGGACACTCACAGGTGGTCAAGCCTCAGGGGCTGCCCGTATAGACCTTTGCCACCGCCTCCACGGCCAGCCTTGCCCCTCAGGCCCGCGGTCCGGCCCGTCTTCGCCTGTCTGGGCACGGCCCTGCTCTCCTTTGGACCCCCTCCCACTGCACCTGACGGGCCTCTAGAGCCCTGGCTGGGGTGGAGCTGGAGGCTGCGAGGGGGGGGGAGGCGGGGCCTCGGGGCTCCAGGGCTGCGGGCTGGCCCTTGGGGAGACAGCAGAGCCCAGAGGTGGTGAGCCGGTGCTCTGCAGCCAGCCTGCGAGCTTCATCTCAGACCTGCCGCTTTCTGGCTAGTTGATCCTGGGCAGGTGAGCCTCCCTTTCCCCTTACAAAATGGGGAGGATGTTGTCGCTGCTAGTAATGTGTTAGGCACTTACCCCGCCTTGGCATTTTCATCCTAAAACCAACCCTGGAGGCTCTTACTGTTGTTATTCCCATTTTGTGGATGAGGGAAATTGAGGTTCAAAGATGTCAAAGTGACCAGGTCACCCAGCTAGTAAGTAGCAAGGACTGGATTGTGTGACTCCTCAGCCAGGTCCCCTAACTTCTGGGCTCTGCGGCCTTCCAGTGGTGGTGACAAGGAAGGTAGAGTACGTGGTGACCCGCTGAGAGCAGTGCACACCCAGGACTGGCTCACAGGTGCACGGATAGCTTTTCAGACAGAAGGAGGGTCTCTATCCTCAGCTCTCCAGGTTGGCCTGAGAGGAGGGGGCTGGCTGGTGCTACGGGGGTGGTAGTCCCTCTCTCCACAGAGCTCATATTCTCAGTACGTTTTTTTTCTTGCTCCTTCTTATTCCAGCTGGGGAAGGGCAGTGCCAACCTGGAGAGGGATCTCTTTGGAGGTTGCTGTGCCCTGCTGGGCTCGCCCCTTGCCCTGTCGGTGTCGTGTGGGCGGGGCACGTCCCTTCATCGGCAGCATTGAGTCAGACTTGGCCAGCGAGGTGGGAAGGTTAAGAGGGTGGTGGACACCTCAGTGCTTGGCTTGTGACTGTGAGCCATCTGGAGGGGACTGTGGTCTTCTGTGGGTCAGTCATGGCTGTGGTTTAGGCTTTCGTTTGCTCATTAATTCAGAAGACGTTGACCGGGCTCCTTCTCTGTGCCAGGCCTGGGTTTGACCTTGATGTGGGGCTGCAAGTGAGGCGCTGGGAACTCGTGGACTTTTATGGAAGCACAAGGGACATCCTCCCATCCCTTTGTGCAAGTGGCAGGTCATCTGGAGTAGACCCTCAGCTTCAGGTTCTGGTTCTAACACTCACCAACTGGGTGGCCTTGAATCTCAAGTCATTTTTCTGGAATGAGAATAGTCATCCTTATTTCCCCAGGGTGCTGGCTGGATTTGGTGACATCCCCAGGGAGGTGCCTGGCACCCAGTAGAAACTCAGTGAGTGGGAAGTGTCTTCTGCAGGACCTGGGGCAGGCACTGGCTGGTCAGCCTAGATGGTGAGGGGCTCGGTGTGATGTTCCTTGGGTGTGGAGCCCCTGTGGGAAGTTCCACCCTGAGTGTCTTCAGGAGAACAGGGAGCTCCTGCCTGTTTAGAAACAGCAAAGCAGCCAGTCAGTGAGGAAAAAGGGTTACGGGTCAGGGTGTCTTGCCTCTTCTGTCTTTGCCGAGGGCTGGCCTCTCAGCCAGAGCCCCGTGGACATTAGCCCACTGATCCCCACTGCACCATACACGCACTGCATTGGCCCATTTTATGATGAGCAAATGGACCCAGACATGGTCATTGAAGTGCCGAAGGGCACATGGATAGCCCAGGAGTCTTAATCCCTGGTCCTCCACTGTCCCCAAACTGGTGTGGGCGAATCCCTCCACCTCCTAGTTGCTCGCTGGGCCTCTGTCCCCTCATCTCTGAAGTGGGGGTTTTGGACACAACTAACTGTATGGTTGGGGCCACCACTTGCTGGATGCTGCTCTGCCTGGGGTGGGTGCCCCTTCTGCAGATCTCCAGAGGAAGGGGGCTGGCACCCTAGTCCTCCATGGGTGTTCTCAGCCCCTCTGGGAGGGCTGGGAAAGCTGCCTCCGCTTCTGACGGCACCCAGGCCTGGAGGCCCTCCCGAGCCCCACTGACCACAGGCTCTTGCAGATGAGGATGATGTGCACAGATGTGGCCGCTGCCAAGCGGAGTTCACTGCCTTGGAAGACTTTGTTCAGCACAAGCTCCAGAAAGTGTGCCAGCGGGCCTCCCAGGAGGCCCTGCCTGCCGCCCGTGCCGCTGGCGCACTGCTGGCCCAGGAGGTGGGCGCCCCCCCCCCACCCCCTGCACGTACCTGTGCATGTGTGCGTTGCCCCCTGACGGCTGGAGGGGGTGGGTGCGGCGGGTTCCCTGTGGCTCGGGGGCTGGGCGGGAGGCCGGTGTCTGCTCATGCACGAGGGAGGGTCTGGGCCCGGCCCCCAAGAGCTTGGCGGTGCTCAGGGTGGTCCAGCCTTCTCAGTGGCCTCTGGCCGGAGCCGTGCAGTTGAGGTCCCTCCTTTCTTGGAACCTCAGGGCCTGTCCTGGCTCAGGGCTTGTCTCCTGCCCTGTACACACAGTTCCTCTGGATTCCACAACGGTGGCTCTGGGGGTCCTGCCACCTTGTCATAAAAATGGCCAACTTTGTGGTGTTGCGCACATGCTCGGCTACACGCATGGTCTCATTGGGGCCCGCAGTACCCTCGCAGGGTGGCATTCCCGTCATCCTCATTGTATGGAGGTGGGAAAGGAGATTCTGAGAGATGTCAGCTGCCTCAGGTCATCACAGAGTGGCCCAGAAGTCACAGGGCTCACAGCTGCCTCATTCTGACCCTGTGCCCTTGTCTGGCCCCTCCCAGTGGTGCCCTTCCCTCCAGGAAGACCCCCGGTCCCACATACCTGGGGCTCTTTCCCTTGATACCCTGGCTGGGGCTGGTGGGTGTGCCGACCTTCATCCTTGCACAGCCAGCTGAGCCGCAGGCCTGGGCCGCTGGCCACTTCCTTCTGGAGCCCTCCACATAGGTTCTTGGGGCTCTGCATTCAGCCCATGGTGGCCAGAGGCATTTGAGTGATGGGGCTGATCCCTTAGGCCTGGGATGGAGGGACCAGGCAGGAGTCAGGCTTAGAGCAGGGACAGGAGAGATGTTGCGGGGGGGGGGAATGAGAGGCCTCACCACAGCCTTCCTGCATGAACATAAACCCAAGCCTGTCCTCTCCAAGCCAAGGGAGCCCCGGAGCCCCGCAGATGAGTCCTCTCTGTCCCCTGGCAGGTGGTGCCAGCGGCGGCAGGCCCGGAGGAGCCCATCACCGTGGCCCACATCGTGGTGGAGGCAGCCGCTTTAACGGCAGACATCAGCCACGGATCTGACCTCGTCGGTAAGCCAGCACGGTCCCACCGTGGCTGTCCACGTGTGGCTCTCAGCACAGCTGTTGCTGACCTATCAGCTGTTAGTGGTCAGTACCAGAGGCTAGGGACCCTTGTTGCCCATGTCTCTGCTCTCCTGAGAGCAAGGCCTGCCTGAGGAGGGCTAAGGCCCTCAGGGCTGAGCACCAGGCACCAGGCCCTGCCCTGCCAGGAAAGGGGAAGCATGCCGCTTGCACTCAGAGTCCTCACTTTGTGCGTAGTCAAGAGCTGGCTGTTTCCTCTGGTTGCTTCTGCAGTTTTTTCCCTGGTCCTGCAATCTTCACTGTTTTTCTACCACTCCCGGTTCCTGCTCCTTACCCCACGGTCGGCTCTGATGGGTCAGGTTGGGGTATGCATGGGATGCACTTGCCACTCCAGCTCTGTCCTGACCTGCTGTCTGAGCTTGCTGTCCCCTCCCATGTGGGGGTGGCGACTCCTGCCCTGATTCTCACCTGGCTTTTATGAGCATACAGAGCCAAGTCAACCTCTTTGATGGCTCCTTTTAAGTCAAAGTGCTCTACTGATGTAGGGGAGGGGTGTCAACAGGTCTGGATTGGGAAGGGGGAACCTTCAAAGGGCCGCCAGCAGCTGGGTGTGTGCCCCGCAGGAGGGAGGCTGGGCGGGGCCTGCTGCCAAGTTGGGAAGGCCATGGTTGTTACCTGGCGGTCTGCTGGGCAGGAGTCTTGGCAGGTGCGAGAGTGGGCGGCCTGACAGGATACGGGCTTGGGCAACAGGTAGAACTTGGCCTTACGAAGTGCTGGGAACCAGCCGGGACAGGAAGAGAGATGGAAACCTCAGGGAGGGGAATGTCAGAGCAGGCCTTTCTGCCAAGGTCCCACCTCAGGGAGGCAGCAGGACACCTGTCCCCATCTCCATGCTGTCTGACATTCCTATGGACGGGGACATTGGCCTGTGCCACTCCGGGACAGGAATGTTGTCATGGGGGAGGTGGGGCTGCGCTACGGCCCTGGCATGGAGTTTGGTTTCTGGGGTGAGTGGTGTCATACGGGAAAACAAGTTCCCTGGGCTCGGCCGGCACCCACAGGTTCCAGACCCCTGGCCAGCCAGGCCCCTTCCCAGCACCACAGCCTCCAGCCGGCCCACACCTGCTGCTCAGCAGCTCCGCCCTGAGCTCCGGGAGCTCCTCTCCGGCACCTCCTGTCTCTCTTGCCCCTTTGGGTGCCCCAAATGTCCTCTTGGTGTTAGCTGCTTATTGGTCCAGGTTGGCTAGAGTTCTAAACTGCCAGTTGCTGGCATCCTAGGCCTGGAGCATCTTATTTCTTGCCGGGTCAGGGGCCTCAGGGGGCGGGGGCTGTGTAGGGGGTACCCGTACCAGGCCCTCTTGCCTCTTCCCTGCAAACAGACTTGCATTTCATCTCTGGACTCAGGGCAGACATATTTCTCCTTCCTTGACCCCTCCGTCCGCTCTCTGTCATGCCACACTGTATCTCAAGTTCTTGCTTGGCAGAAGTCCCCGTCCTTTTGGAAGTTGGCTTCTGGGGCGGAGGAAAGATAGATCATCAGGCACGTCAGCCAGGGCAGAGGCTAGAGATGCCCTTAATTATTTCTGAGTCACGGTGCTTCCCTTGTTTGGGAGAATGGCTTGTCAAAACACTCTGCCCGTCTGATTGAGATGGTTCCTAAGAGGTGGCTTTACAACCGTTCCCCACACGTCATATTTAGGAGCAGAAATCGTGATGTGTGTTTACAGCTTAGCTTTGCACGTTGTCAGATCTCTTCATCACCCATGAGAGGTGCTAAAGCCTGCCTCCTTCCTCAGGCAGTCCCAGGTGTCTTGGGAACACTCATTCATGCTCCCAGATGCGTCCCCAGCCTCCCTGCCTCGAGACACAGCAAGGGATCCCCAGAGGCAGCCGCCTTACCTGTCGGGGGAGCCGGTGCCGTGCCATTGGACGCCGCCTGCGCCAATCCGCCCCCGCCTCCCGCGGGCTGCGGGAGCTCAGCGCCACCCGCCGCGGCCCGGCGCGGGAAGGCGGGCTGCCATTGGCTGCCGGGCCTGGGGCGCCCCGGTGATTGGCTGGCAGGGAGCCAACCGGCATTCGGAGTGGAGTGTTCACTGCGGAAACGCTGCGAAGGAACCCAGAGCCGGCGCAGGACGTAAGGCTGCTGCTCATTGGCGGCCTCAGGGCGGCTCGCCCATTGGTGGTGCGTGGTCAGCTTAGGTGACGGAAGTCCTTAATGCAGTGACCCCCGGCCGGGCCGGCTGCGGATTGGCTGGCTTCTCCGCGGCGAGGAGCGCGGCAGGACGTGGGGGGAGGCGGGGTGGGGAGCCGCTGTCGCCTTGGGGCCGAAGTCACGTCCGCACCTCTACCTGGGCGGTGCCGGGCCGTGCCCTCCGCCCGGGACACGCAGCGGACACGGCGGTAGCGCGTGACCGACTAAGGCCGGTGCTGAGTGCCCGCCCGGGGCTCCTTCCCGGCAAGCCTCGCGTTCCCAGTTCCAGCCCTTTGCAGAAACCCTGTTCCCGGTGCCTTGGTAATGACCAGGCGGTGGCACTGCCTTGGTGGTCACGTGGACCCGTAATTATAAGGCGGTGGGAATCGCCTTCGTGATCACGTGAACAGGTAATTACAGGCGGCGGGATTAGGGTCTAAGGAGACGCAGCCTAGAACCCAGCTGTCATCGTCATCGTTATTATTGGGTATCATGGTTAACTTTTATTGAGGCGTAACACGCAGAAAAGTGCGCAAGTCTTCAGTGTGCAGCTTGATGGAATTTTTACATACCCGTACGCCTATGTAAACACAACCCAGGTCAAGCTGCAGAATCTTTCCATCGCTCCAGAAAGTTCCCTCACAGTCTCCCTCCAGGCACTAGCGACCCCCCTCCCCCAGCCACGTCCCTGACTCCTGTCACCATAGTGTGAGTCACAGACGCCTCTGCTGGTACAGATGGTCTCGCCAACGGGATCGAACAACCATGGGTCTTGCTTCTGGGGATCAACATAACGTCTGTGAAATCCATCCTTCTGCGTGTGTGTGTGTTTTCATTGTCATGTGGGCGGTTGTAAGAATACACCTCTCTGTGTCTGTTTTCCAGTCGAGGGACAGTGTGTTTCCAGTTTGGGAGCATTGTCAATAATACAGGGTGTCAAACCCCTGCTTTTCTGTTGGGCCCCAGATCTCCATAAAGTCTGCTCGGACCCACCCCCACCCCCACTCGCAAGCCCATGAGGTAAAGTCAGTGACCTTAGGGCCCTGATTATTTACACACAGCTTGTTTTTGTTGGTTTCTGCTGGCCCAGGGAACTCCTCGAGGACGTTGGAAAGGCTATGGCCCACAAGGGCAGGTCATGCAGAATGTTCCTGCCTGATGTACCTACTACCCACAAGGGGAAACTTCCTCCCTGTGTCTTCCCACTTCATTGTGGTGGTGGAGCTGACTCTGGGAAGAACTGGATTTGACAGAAGATCACAAACTCTTTTTCAACCACCCAGAAGCATCCAGTGTATACAGTACACTGGCCAGAGTGGGAAGGGCGCTGCTGCCCAGCCACGGGCCAGCTTGTCCGATACCTGCCCAGATGCTTTGGCTTCCTGGGCATTCAGTAAGCATCACAGGCACTGAGCACTGCTCCTTATCTGCATTACTTTGTCCGAATGACAGGACAGCCCTAAGAGGCAGGGACTGTTAGTGTCCCCATTCATGGATGAGGAGACTGAGCCACAGATAGTCACTAGCTGGACAATGCAGAGTTGGGATTAAACTCAGGTGACTCCAAAGTGGAGCTCTGCCACACCTATTTGCCTTAACATCCCCTGTGAGTTGTAGGGACTGAGCCGGCATCGTGGGAAGGGTGGAACGGTCTGTAACAAGAGAGGAGGTGGTTATGGACAAGGTCCTGCCAGCAGCTGGAAGGGACGGTGCACTTGGTACACTTAGTGGGGGCAGTGGGTGGGGGGAGGATGACCTTGTGTGAGGTGCCCTGTGTCTGCATGGGAGAGGCGCCCCACACGGATCACGAAGTGTTCCCGACCCACAGAAGATGCTCAGTGTCTACCTGTGAATGGTTGGCGTCAGGGTTCCGCCAAGTGAGGAAGCCCTGCCTGCAAGCTGACTGGGGGCATAGATGGAGATGGCACAAGGACAGACACTATTTAATTAAAATAGCCTTGCAAGGATTTAAATTGTATTAGAAAATGCAAGTAGCAATTGAATCTGTGTTTTCACAGATGGTTTTGCTTCTAATGAGCCAAGTAAAAATGGGAGTCATTGAAAAAGTATTCAAGTGGCAAAAAAAAAAAAAAAAAAAGAAAAGAAAGAAAGAATTGGAAGCAATCTAAATATTCTCCAACATGGGACTGGTTAAATAAATTAAAGTACATCCAAAGAACGGAGATTGAGCAGTCCTCATAAAGGGCTGGAGCTTCCATGGCTCTGGCCACGGCAAGTCAACACAGCATTGAATATCAAACAGTGTGCAGCTGGAGCCCATGCTGAGGACTGGGTGGGACGGGAGGAGGCCACCTGGGGGAAGGGGGACTCTGGTTTTCCTGTCTTCCTCTGGCCACTCTGCCTTTCAGGGACCTTAGGCCTGTGCACTCTGGTGCCCGCTGGCCTGCCTGGGCTCTAGCTGAGGCAGGACCCAGAACCCACGGGATCAGGATGCCCTTTTCTTTTCAACAGATTTTTATTTATTTCCTTCATAGAGAGAAAGAGAGCACAAACAGGGTGAGCAGGAGAGGGAGAAGCAGGCTTCCCGCTGAGAAGGGAGCCCGATGTGGGGCTCAATCCCAGAACCCTGGGATCATGACCTGAGCCGAAGGCAGACACTTAACCGACTGAGCCACCCAGGCGCCCCCAGGATGCCCTTTTCTGACTCCCAGGGAACCATGAGGCAGGAACCTTGGCCTGCCCCTGACATGGCTCTGGAGCACACAGGGCAGGCTCTCGGTCTCCTCTGGGCCGGCTCCTTCTCCTCATGTTCACCCACACTCAGGCTGTCCTCTCTGCCTTTGAGACCCTTCCCTACCCCATTCTCCTGGGGGCTTCCTCTATCTCTTTGACGCTGGCTTCCCATTACTCCTCAGCACAACCTTAAGTGAAGTGTCGTCCTGGTCCTCCCTTCCCAGAGCCCCCTCCACATGCCCCCACCTGTTCTTCCTCCTGTTAGTCCCTCTCAGAGACCATCTGGGATCTCCCTGCTTCTGTGGTCCTTTCTCTGCACCATAGTCAGAGAGATCCTTTTGAAACGATGTCACTCCATCTGCTTAAACTCCTGCAATGGGGAGCAAGCCTCCTGCAGGAAGCAGCCTCATCGTTGCCCCAGCCCAACCTCCAGTGATCTGACCTGAGCTTCACACATCGCTGCTGCTGCCAGGCCAAGGGTCCTCGGGGCCCCAGCTGGGCAGCCCCGGCAGGAAGACAGTCTCTGCTTGGTGTCCTTCCCAGGGCAGAGCTGCCCACTCTCTGCCTGGGCCCTTGTGTCTCCACCTGGTCTTCCCTGGAGATTAGCCTTCCTGGAGGAGACCCATTCTGATTCATCTGAATCTCTGGCATCCAGCGCCGGGCTGGATCACAAAAAATAACTGAGCCGGGAGAGCACACCCTGTGGGTTTCCAGCCCATGGCTCTGGACCGACTTTGAGTCTCCAGTCTGCCCTCAGGCAAGCATCCTATCAGTTTGTGCCCCAGTTTCTTCATCTTCAAAATGGGTATGATTGATACCTTACATGAAAGAATCCTGTACAGTGCTCAGCTTCAAAGAGCTAACTCAATACTGTCTTAGAAAGAATAAAAGGAA